CAACTCCCAGAATTCCCCAGCCAGCATGAATTCTGGGAGTTGAAGTCCACACATCTTAAAGTTGCCAAGTCTGAAAAACACTTTCTCAGAAGTTGTATACTGTGGGCTGGTGAAGCCTCCTGAAACAGTTGGTCTCACTGGAGATGAAGATTCACTGCTCATTTGGACAAAGGAAACTTTTTTCTTCTCACAAGCAGGGTTTTGCCTTTCAGTTGTGTGGAACCTAGCACAAACTTAAAAGCAGGTTTCTTGCTCCAGTACGTGCTTCAGAAAAAGAACTACAGCTCCCAGAGTCCTTTGTTGTTCAGGTGAAGCACAGGGTGTGGTCTGACTACCGGGACAGGGGTTTCCTTTGGAGAAAAAGTTTTCTTGGTGTGGGGAGGAGACGTTTACCTGATTAACCCTGCAAGAATAACTCACAAGGTTAGTGAAAAAGATACCTGATGTAATTGGAGGACTATCTCGTGATTCGGGGAGTTGTAAAAGGGCTCCGTTCCTTTATTTTGTAAAATCTTGCTTTTTCTCGCACGTTTTATCATTGGTTATTTGTAATAATCTGCAGCTGTGCCCTCGTAGGGAGCTCTTGGCTGCCAATTGGGGCCTGGATGCGATCGCCGTTAGCGTGATCGCTGTCCTGGGTGTCAGAAATTCCATTGTCCAGCGTAGGATTTGCTGCAGGCGGGAAAATCACCCGGGGGACGTGGCTACAAGGATTCCTCCATAGAGTAAGTGACCTCTGTGCTTCTTTTCTCACACCCACGTAGCTGCTTGTAGAAGAAATGAGGCCCTCGTCCTAGGGTGGCTGAACCTCGACCTGGCCTTTGATAGACTAGGAAGTTTAATAGAAACGGATGCAATAAAAGAAGCAATTACAGAGTTGCTTTTGCTTCCTTTCTAAAGTTCTTTTTCTGAAGCACCTACTGGAGAAAGAAAGCTGCTTTTAAGTTTGCGCTAGGTTCTATACAACTGAAAGGCAAAACCCTGCTTGTGAGAAGAAAAAAGTTTCCTTTGTCCAAATGAGCAGTGAATCTTCATCTCCAGTGAGACCAACTGTTTCAGGAGGCTTCACCAGCCCACAGTATACAACTTCTGAGAAAGTGTTTTTCAGACTTGGCAACTTTAAGATGTGTGGACTTCAACTCCCAGCCCAAAGCAAAAACAGAGAGGCACAACAGTGTTTGCTATTTGGCCTGGAGAGAGCTTTATAATTACTTATAGGATCCTAAGGCACTGGATTCAAATCAGGTAGGATTTTCATTAAAAAAAAAAAGTATGTCTTTCTGCCTTTTGAAAGTCTGAAAGAGCCAACAGAAGCTGCAACTATAATGTAGAGGTAAGTCAAAAGAAGCAGTAACTATAATGTAGAGATATCACAAAAGAGATAAGATTTTAACATGCAGGTCTCCCTGGGAAAACTGAAGCTGCTCCTTTACAATGAAATATCACTTATTACAACCCACATACTGCATAATTTACTCCCAGTAAGAAGCTCAAGGAAGAGGTGATGCTTTCTTTTGCTAAATATAGATGTATTATGATGAAAAAATGTAAAAATCTGCAGAAGCCTCAGATACAAGAAAGCATTGACATTTCTTGACTTTAAAATTGAGTTATAATGAAAATGATCCTGTCACCTTTTCTGAATAATATGTCTGTTTTGTAGGATTAGCTTGGCCCCACTTTTATTGCCACTCACTCAGGAGGAGGCCTTTCAAGCAAACAAGAAATGTTAAGGTCCTAATCAAGTTTAAACACCAGGGATTGCAGTAAACTTGCTCCCAAGTAAATAGGCTGGGATCTTTAGTACGAACATGAGAAGTAGAAGGGTTTGTGGAGGAATGATCCTTTCTTAATCCTTTTGGGATGCCCTGATGTATCAGACGGCTAATTTTAAGGAGATGGCTGCCAGGAATATGCCCAGAGAAAAGGGAGGGTGGAAGATGAGACTGCAGCCTGGATTGCTTGCCACAGCAGGAGCAAAAAGCCTTGGGCATGCAGCCTGTCCATTCTCCAGAAGCTGCGTGAGAAGGAGAATGTAAAGGAGGTTTGCCATCAGCCAGTGGCATAGGATGCTCTAGGTGGAGGCAGTGTTTTACCTTGGGACTATGACAGAGCCCCGGAGCTAAGGTGGCCTCTGGACAGCCTTGTGTTGGTAAGTAACTAGGCTGTAGTCTTTACTTTGAGGAGGGAGCTACCAAATGCACTAGAGACGCACCCGACCAGCTTTCTTTCTGTTCTTTTCTTTGATGGATGCATTATTGAGCTGCCAGAAAAATAGATTTTTTTGGAAGAAGTGGGAAGGGATCACCTCCCTGGGGTCATTACCCAGCTTTCTGCTGGAAGCCAGTTTGTTGGGTGACAACTTTTATGTCTTCTTACCCAGCCTTCCTCCCTTCCCCTGCAGTTGTGCTGTCATCTGCCTTTTTGGTTATGAATTCCTCTGGGTAATACCATTCTTACTGGCAAAAGTATTGAACTGCATTCAAGTTATTTTATGGGAATTAAAACATTTCTGTTTCACCATATAATATATGTGCAATGGAATACATTTATGAAAACTTCATCTGCCTGAACAAAATATTCTGTCTCTCTCTCTCCTAACTTACTCTCCTGTACCTGCATACTACTTTTGTAATGTGTGTATGCACCCACGAAAGGGAAAACGAGCTAGGGCAATGGGCTGGAAGGATGAATCCTGATTGGCCCCTTAGAGCTCAGCAATGATTATGCCAATTGTAGATTCTTCCCGATATGGCCCCCAACAAATGATTCAGAGTTCATTGAGATTTGGGCTACACCAGCTGGTGTAGCTGCTGCCAAAATCTTCAGTTGCAGTTTGGTTCTGAGCTAAGCAAAACAATCAGATCTGAGTTTTAGTATTTCTTCTAGGAGAGAAATGAACAGTGCTTCCTAGCAGATAAACGACTTGAAGCCCCCCAAAAAGTAATCCCATAGAAACAGGGAAGGTACAAATAATTTTCATTGTACTGATCAAGGGTTCCTCAGTAGGCGTTCTCCAAATCAGGCTGAAGGAGGTATATACATCTCCTTGCATGGCTTGGACAGGGATAAAGTTTTGCTATTCTGTTGAATTGATGCCAAAGCAGAACAAAAGGCTTCTAATTCATTGGGAAGGCTGGCAGCCATGACTGGCAAGCAGATACATTTTATGCATATCATTGATGCAGCAGCTGGCTCCTTGCATTCTGTTGAAGTGAAAGAACATGAAGCTTGACATGTATGTGTAGTCCCTATGTCCCTACTCATGCTAATCTGCATAAGGAGTCTTTGCTGGGGCAATGGGTTATAAATTGTACCTTTCATAAGAAACAGGAACCCAACGCCGATCATATCAAGCGCGAAGCATTTTAGAGCAGAAATAGGCAACTCCCTTGGCACCCACCAGGTTCCCTGCCCATCTGACAATTTGTTTACATTCTACTTAATTTAAAACAATAAATGGAAATTGAGGTGCTGCAAAGAAAAGTGCCAACCTCTAGTTGCACCTGTATTGCATAAAAGCTTTTAAATAGAAATGGTGGGGGGCAACCGCGTTTTGTTGAGGGAGGTGCACCTGATCAGAAAAAAAATAGCTTTTCCCTGCTGCTGCTGAGTTGAAGTGCTCTCTGGTCATCCTTGAGTCAGCAGAAAACTATACAGGTTGCCCCAGGCAATGTCAAAATAATCAGAAAAATGCTACTTCAACCAAGTACAGCTAAAGATGAAGACTGTCTCATTCATGGGCTGGGAACAAGATAAAGGGAGTGTCATGGAAAATTGCAGAAAAACTGGTGCCATAGCATGCTGAAACTTTGATTACAAGAAGGTGGGGAAAGGCCCTCAGATAGGCTGGAGTGGTAGAGAATAGCCTAGGCTGGTGTTTTTCAACCTCAACAACTTTAAAATGTGTGGACTTCAACTCTCAGAATTCCCCAGCCAGCATGAACAAGTTAGGGGACAATTATTCTGCTTCTCTGTGAAGAAAGGGGTGCTCTCCTTTGCTGAGAGAGAGAGAAGTGGGGAGTGATGCTCTCCCTGCCATCTCCTGGATGGAGAAGGACATCCCATATAGAGGGTATCAGATTCCTGTTTGGCTCATTCTGTTTGGATGCCTTCCTTCATCCAAGAGGACTTGGAGAGCCATTGCTTCCAGGAAAGAAAGGAAGCTCCAGTGCTTTGTTGCTGCCTCATCTGTTCACCAAGGGTAACAAAACTTGCATAGGAAGAAGTAGTTTATCCTCAAAGGCTTCAGGGTGTTCTGAGAGCTTTAAAACAGCAGCTGTTAGATACGCTGGATTTGCTGTGCTTTTTCTTTTGTTGACACACCCATAGTAGCCTGAAGCCATGGCTCTCCCCAGCTTTGTTCAGCCCTTGCGTATTTTGGGGTCAAGAAAAAGTTAAGGCCCTACAAAGGACTGCTACTTCACAACAGTCCTTGCCCTGAAGCTGTGACTAAGCTGGAGCTGGCTTCCAATTTTTGCAATAGGGGAAACGAGTGTACATAACAAGGCTCCAGGATTTATGGCTTTGGGAACTCTGAGTTCCTTAAAAGGTTCGTTTCTGTCTTTATCAGGCTGGATAAAGAGGTCTGATAGTCCATATTCAGCCTCTGGGATGGAGGATCCTTGTCCCTGTATCAGAAGATGAAACCTTGTGACATATTGTTGCAAGTTCCATTTATAATCACACTTTTTTATTATTAAGATCAAGCAATAGGTTTGCCCCTGTCTGTTTCTTGCCATTTTAATTAAGTTTCATTTTACTCCACCCTGCGTGACAAGGTTCTAAGATCTGCAAAAAGCCAGATGTCCCAACTGCCGGATTGTTGGACCTTACATAAAGGGGATGATAGATAATGTGAGAGAGTTCAGACTGAGAAGCAGAAGTTGTTTCTTCCCGGTTAAGAGCTGTCCTGGCAGAGAGAAAATTGCTTAAGCACTTCCCCAGGAATGGAGCCTGTACTGACCTTATACTTAAACGACAAGCTTAGGATTTCAAAAAGCAAAGGTGCTGCAGAGTTCTTTGCTATTGATAGAGCAAAATATGAGTGTCTTCTACAGAAGCAAAATGCCCTTCTGAATAAAAAGCATGTTGCAACTCTCGCTGAACTTAGCAGCACAGAATGAGCCAAACAGTTTCTGGTTTTGAACCCTGTTATCTTTTACAGGCAGCAACTCCACTTCCCTTCTTCGTTCTTCTCATGCTCTACCAAGAGCTTTAATCCTCTGAACCTGCACAGTCTGTGGTAGAAACTAACTTCCTGTTAGGCAGGAAGCCCGGCTGCTTCATTTGCTGGTGTTCATGAAGGAGCACTCACACTCTGCTCTCAGGAATGCAGGAACTGGGCTTTCCTAACCCTTGGAAGCCAAGCCCATCCTGGTGCACTGAAAGGCAAACTTTGTTATCTCTCTGGTGACAGCTGGGCTGTTTGACAGTGGTTGAGACAAGGAAGAGAAACTTTATAGCAACTCTGCTGGTAGTGAAAATATGAGATGCACCTGTAGGTAAGTTCAAGGGAGCTTTCAGTTTCCTTTGCAGAAATGATTTGTTTTTCCACTGTGAGAGAAGTCCGTAGTTTGAGCACCAGCAACTGTATTTGCGTTGTCTGAACTGCAGGCATCCAGACTGAATTGCAGCCTTTGTCCTGTCTTTGTTTTCCTTCCTTTTTGCATTATTTGCTCGCAGCTGACCAGGCAGCTCTTGTGATATACACTTTCTAAATCTTGTAGTAGGAGGTGGTGGGAGAGCCAAGTACAGCTCTGCGTGTCTCAAGTTGTGTTCTTTGTGGCATATAGGCTTGAATGTTGCGGCCTGTTCTGCTGGCCTTGAGAGTTAATAAGAGGACCTCAGATATTAGACCAGAATCTAAACGAATTGGTAGAAGATATGGAGCCTGAATAGTCTCAATGGAAGCAGCTTCATTTGAGATTGATTCTTTCTGCAACCTGCATTTGGAAATGTGGTGAACTGAGAAGTGCAAAGGCAAATAGATCACTTGTGGAATTGTTTATCAAGATGTCCCACACAGTGACTTTCACCTTTCATGACCCTGAGAACAGAGACACTGCCAGGTGAGTGTGATTCCTTTTTAAATAAGTACATTTTTAAAAAGTATATTATTCATTCCTGTCTCAGAAACAGAATGTCATCAGATGGTTAGAGTACTTACAAACTATTTAGAAAACTGACACTTAGCATGTATTTATTTCAAGGCAAACTGTTTTTAAAAAGCCTGAGAATGACTGTTTCTTTTTCTATATCTAATTATCAAAACACTAAAAGTAGAATTCTTGTGTAGCATAAAGCATGGGATGGAATGTTGGTGTGTGAGAGTTCTGTTGCCTGCTTAGGAAAACTGGAGAGAGGAGTTTCCTGTAGCAAATGCGAATTAGTATCAACACTGAAAAAAAAGTTGGTGAACTATTTATAACCTAATCTCCAATATAGTTCCTTGGGAATAAATGGGTAAGTGCATAAATTGCCCTACCTTGATTTCAGTTATCTTCAGAATAGTCTAGAGTGTTAGGAAAACATTAATCATTGCTTCTAAATGTTTTTGAGTATTCCTGTCTTAGATCTGATCTTGAGATGTAAGAAAGGTATTTTGTCCATTATTGAATCATATAGCAGTAAGATTGACAAATTACTATTAACAGAATTTTAGCCACAGAGACCAGAAGTACAGGATTTATAGATTATAAATTCTGGAAGAGACAGAAATTAATTCATTCTACCTCAATATTAGATTGACATATAATCATTATTAACCCAAACTTAGGACAGAACATATCAGAAAAGTATACAGCTATGTAATAGAATTTACAGAATTTGAATGTAAATACATTAACATTTTTAATTAAATTAGGAAGAAAATACAAATAAAATGGAACAATAAAATGCAATTGATACTTGAGACTTGAGACTAATCTCTACATTACAAAACTACTTTCCAGTGGTGAAGTAATCAAGACTTTGTTATTTGTTTGTAGTTATACTATTTAAACTTGTAAGGCTTTAGTTTCACTCTCATTATGCACATCTCCTGGGTGCCTATTAGTAGATGTGTACATGAGGCTCTGAAGGCCCTGATGGGAAGTCTTTGTAAACCATGTTTGATCAGTGTGTTGGATGCTCTCTATCCTTATGCATATTGTCTGTGTTTTGGATTCTGCTGTGGTTTGCTACAAGAACTGTAATGTTCTAGTATGTTTTGCCTGCTTCCGTTTAGTCACTACATATACCTGACTCCTAGCCTAATCCCTTGTGAAGCTGGTGAGATGTTAGAAGCTGTTGTTTTGGGGATCCTGTTAGTTGAACAGTTGGGCAGACTGGTTCTCTGTTCCCCACAGCCAAGACCCAAGTCCATATGATGAAGGGGCTGTGCATGATTCCTTCCACCAGCTAATTAAGGAGCAGAGCAGTTTGGCTGAACAGGAGTTGGTGGAGATGCAAGACCTGACTTCCAGGAGCAAAGGTGAGACAAGTCACATCTATAGCACACAGACTTGCCGATGATTATCAGGGATATTCAACTTGTAGATAAATAGTTGGGGTAAAGGAGAAGGATGTGTAACTTTTAAGTAGTATTTTCTGATTTGTTCTTTTTCTCAGAGAACAATGTGAAGAGCAGGGGAAAGGCTGTGCAGCCTGATGTAACTCAACAGTTTTTAACTTACAAAATATGGATGGAGAGATGTTTCTTGTTAGAAAGCATTTTCTTTCTTCTCAACCATTTAATCTCCAGAGCTTACAGCTAAACAAAAATCTTTGGCTTGTTAGTTACCTTTAACAATTCTGGTCACAGTAAAAAGTAGGGTGAGAACAAATGCATGATCCCATTTTATCCTCGCAACAACCCTATGAGGTAGATTGGCTTCAGAAGTAGTGAAAGCTCCCCAATAAGCTTATAGCTAGCATGGATTTGAATCTGAATCTTCTTGGGCCTCATCTGACACTAACTATACCATGTCTGCTTTCAAAAGTTGGTGAGTTCAGTCTCAATAAACTTCCATTCTTTTAACGTGTACAGTGGAAATACCATTAACTGATTCTCCATGAATCTGATGGGTTCCTAGATGCTGTGGAACCAAGCAGCCCAACCTTAAGAGGTTTTTAAGGAAATACAAGATCAGGATTTCATAATCATAACAAGATTTCATTACCTATATGACAGAGGATTTACCTAATTTTTTAAATTTCTGTTTCTGCTGCATGAAATGCCATGTTCCCAAATCCTCCAGTACCTGTTGTTATACTTGTTTCCAATGTAATAACAGAATTATATAGTTCTGTTTATAAAAATTGTACTGGTGGCACCAGTAGTAATAATGACCTCTTTCACAAGATCAGTGTGATACTAAATAAGATAACTGAGGGGGTATTGGAAATAACTTGAGGTGAGCCCACAGACAGACTGTAGTAGGTCAGATCAGAATTGGAGGACAAACCAAGAGGTAGGATTTATGAGTGAGCAAGAACCGGGGCTATAAGGACACACCACCACCTAGGAGGAACTCAGCCAAAACAGAGGACCCTGTTATCCTCCTCTTCTGTCCTTCAGGATCCAGGGCGTGAATACATTTTACTGGGAGTATTTTTGCATGGCAGCATTAAAGGACTATTTGCCAGTGCAGGGGGTTGGCATACAATATGGCATACAATATGTCTAACTGTACCTTTGATCTTCTTTTGTCTCAAAGTAAACCCTTGCAGGAGGGGAGAACTACAGGTAATCCTTGTTTAGCGATTGCCTCATTTAGCAACCATTCGCAGTTGCAAGGGTGATGAAAAAGTAACTTTTCAACCAATTCTCACACTTATGACCTTTGCAAGTCTGAAAAGCAAAGGAAAGCTGAAGTAAGATAAGTGCAGTTGTAGTTTCACTTAGCGACCACTTCCCTTAATGACCAAGTTACTGGTACCAATTGTGGTAGCTAAATGAGTACTACCTGTAGCCCCAAAGGAGCCATTCTCTGCCTCTTTGCTCTGCTTCTCATGCCACCCCTGGCAAAAGAAGCTGGGGCAAGAGAAGAGATCTGCTGCCTTTTCTTACCATGGTGCCACAGGGAAGCAGAGGGAAGAAAGTGGGAAGTGGGTCTTTGCTGTTCACCAGCAGAGCAGACATGGCAGCACCTAATCAGCAAGGGGAGTTGCATTTTCTACCTATGTTTAGCAGCCTTATGGAAGACTGCTAGACATGCAGCAAGCGCATCTACCTAGCCAGCCCTGTGGATCAGGTACTGTGCCTACTCTGGGGGGTGGAGTAGCTAAAGAGTCACTTTTCTCCCACTTTTACCCTGACAGTTTTCCAGTGCCACAGAGGTCCTCCCTGGGATGGGAGAACTGGTGACTACAGAGTTGCTTCCCCATGCACACCCTTTTCTTGTCATCCCTCCCAGTCTTGCTGGCCTGGGATCTGTTACTGGGTCTGTCCAGTTAGAAGAAGGAGGGGGAGAGATGGCTCTTTGGCACAGGGGAGAGCCCTGATTCTCCCACTGCCCAAAGGCAAATAGCCCTGAAAAACAGTGGGCAGAGAAGGTAGAAAGGGGCATGTCCCCAGCAGGCTCAGGTGGCCAGTCAGAGCAGGTACCAGCTCTTAAGTTTCCTCACTGCAGTGCGCTGCAGACCCTTTGAATGTGTGTGTCCACAGAAGTTTGCAAAGACCTCTTTAAAACTGGAAGAGGAAAAGACAAACATAGACTGTTTTCATGGTGGATCAGGAATGAATTGAAGACCACATCTTTTGTTCATGTCTTCTTGAAATCACCAAGCCATCTTCCTGCCATGGTTAGCAGGCTGTGCAGAAGAGGTCCGAGAAACCTGCATTTCAGTGGTTCACCATATGGGGCAGCTCCACTCAGCCCCAGAAACGCCTCTTTAAATGATTCGTATATACATTATGAAAGTGAATGTTAGGATATTATTCTCCTCCCAATCAAAATGTTAGAATATTATTTTCCTCCCCATCAAAAGCAATTCATTTCTATGATCCATGTAAATTCTTGTTTATAAGAATTAGGGGCCCTGTGGTTGCACTTCTCTCATGCAAAGTTTGTATTTTATCTACTGTTGCTCTAGAGCTGATTTTGATGTCATAGTAATGTTATTTGTGAAAATTGGATGGGGTCTTTTGCTTTTTCTGAATCAGTGCTGACTTTTCTGATTTTTATGACATTCTTGAGAATAACAAACAGCCCATGAAAATAATGCTCTAAACCACAAATCTCTGCAGAAAGCAATGGGCTGTCTGCACACCACTGTATTGGCACAAGGATCTCTGCACTGAGTCTCTGTGACTTGGCCCAACATGTGAATCTGTCCTGATACAAATGTTTGCTGTAGGAGACAGTAGAATAAATTTAGAATGAATGACTAAGTTGTAAAACGTTCAAAGAAAACGGCTGGTGTGGGTCTTCTAGGCTGTGTGGCCGTGTTCTGGAAGTTTTGTTTCCTAACGTTTCGCCAGCATCTATGACCAGCATCTTCAGAGAGCAGGAGCACAGACAGGAGCAGTTCTCTCTATGCCCAGGATGAGGTGACCCTTTTGTGGGTATTTATAGAGATCTGAGGGGGGCGGGATCTGTGCTTCTGCTCTCTGAAGATGCCGGTCACAGATGCTGACGAAACATTAGGAAACAAAATTTCCAGAACACAGCCACACAGCCCGGAAGACCCACACCAGCCATTCGTATGCCTTTGACGATACGTTCAAGGAAAATGTTATGCTAATCTTGGGAATGGGCACAAAAGGAAGATGAAGGGTAGATGTGGAGATTCTAGTTCTGACAGGACAGTTCATAGAAAATTGGTGATGCGGAGATTGGATCTGGGGCTTTTCTTTTCCTACAGAAAATCTGGTTCATCCCCTTGATCAGACTGAAGCTTGGAAACCAAATGAACAGCTGGTAGAGCACCCTGACTTCTCTTCCACCACATTGCGCATCCTTGCTAATATGCCCAGCCGTACTATTGGTGAGTTATAATAATTCTGCCATGAAGCTTCCCTGCAGCCCTGGCCTACTTTTTTTCATGAAGAAGAATTTCAGGATAGGGCATGTGAATTATGGGAATGAACATAGAATGATCCTGGAACAAGGGCCACCTTTTCTCCACTCCATGTGATGGGTCTTCCCTTTTGTTTGCAGGGCGCAGCAGAGGAGCCATCCTCTCCCAGTATTACAACCGCACTGCCAGACTACGCCGTCGGAGCAGCCGTACTCCTTTCCAGGAAGTATCCCGTTCTGCGCGGCCTAGTTTTCGGCAGCTGGTTCTAGACTTGGATTCCAGTCACAAGGCAGAAGACAGTAAGTTGACTAAAAGAATAGGAAGATGCCTGTAAGCAGAAAAGTAGTGTAAGGAAGATAGAAGTATGTACCTAACCCTAAAACATATTGTGCAGCTATTATAACTATGAGCATCATGGAGAAATCATCCTGATTATTCTCAGTATGTGATCTAGCCATCCAGATGTTGTAATCGCTCAGTGGTTCTCACAAAATAGTGATGAAATATTACAACATATCTTGCTTGGTGGCAGCAGCTAGTCATCTTTGATTTTGCAAACTTAAGCAGGGTCAGACCTGATTGGGACTTAGATGGAAAAACGCTAGAGGGGAAAGTTGAGAAGCATTCCGGAAGAAGACAATAGCCAGGAAATCTAGGGATGTGTCCATGAAGTTCTCAAGAGTCAAACTTGATTAGGGGGGACTGTTATAATATTCCTCACTCAAGGAAATGGAACAATGTACACTTCCAGAAGACCTGAGAGTAGCCTTGGTCCCTTACTTAACCCTTCAAGATGACTTTGTCAGGGCTCCTTTCTTGGGCAGCCTTGCCATGAAAGCCCACAAATATGTTTGCTTTTATAGAGAAGGCGCTATTTCCTTTTTCACTTTCTTATACCTTTAAAGGAAAAGGTGATCCCAGTCAAAAGTGGAGGAGGGAAAGTATCCTTCTTCCTTTCTGCAATCCAAATGTTTGCACTGGAGATGCAGTTGGGCTGCCTGATCTCTGATCACCTCTGCACTTCCTCCCTAGCCAACTATAATTTTCTGGTAAAAGAACTCCAGAACCTGCCAGCGCATCAACGCAATCACATGCTGCAGCAGATGCCTCTAAGCTTGGCTGAGAAGCTCAGACTCAGGTTAGTGTCCTGGTCATTAGCTGCTCTTGGAGCAGAGAGTGAATGCACCTGAGCTGGTCTAGCTCACTGTTCTTTTCCCCAAAACAGCTTTTGCCATGCTTTTTAAGTTCACTTCTCTCTCTTTCTCTCTCCCCCCCCCCCACTTTTCAGGCAGGATTCGAGTGGGCATTCAGGCACCTTGAGGAAACCCCAGCCAACGGGTCCTTTGTCTCACTGCAGCTGGCTTAAATACCACATCCTAATAGTAAGCCATGCACCCTACTTGCTTTTGTTGTGGCAGGTGGAAAATAAGCAGACTCAGATGGCTTTCTGTAGAAAAGGTGTGGCCCCCTGTGTCTTTCTTACACTGCTATGACAAAGGAAACTTTCATTGAATTCTGTGAAATTTATGCCAGTTTGAGGAGTAGGGAAAAGTACTCCGGAAGTTCTTGGCTGCCTTTTTGCCAGTTCCTGATGTCCTGTTCTTATCAAGAAGGTATTAGCAAGTTTCAGGAGGATCGTTTTAGGTTACTGCATTGAATATGAAGCAGGGGCTTTGCTACTTGCTGTAGTGGTGAACAGATGGAGAAAGTGGCTTTGGGTTCAGACAGGCTCAGCAAAAGAGGCTAGGGCCTTGGGAAAATAGGAAAGGGGCTGCTGTGGTCGTCTTGCCAAGAAGCATAACTTGCCAGGCAAATAGAAATAATCTCTACTTGGAGGCCCAGGGTGTTTTTCACTGCAGTGGAAGCTGCAAATCCTTCTCTTCAGCAACTGTTTTTCTGTAGTACACAAGCAAGACGAGGAAGAAGTACGGCACCATCCTTCAACACAAGAACATTCTGAGTTTGGGGAAGACTTTTCTTTACATGCTTTGAATGCTTTTGTTAATAGCACTCTGGGCCTGAGAAAGAGGCAATTGCCACATGTTTCTATTGTGCTAAATGTTGTTTCAAGCATTTACTTAATTTTAATTTTTTGCAATACTGCCTTGAGTAGGTAATTGCAATCCCCATTTCTGTTATGACAGTAAGATAGAGTTTTCTCATAGTGGAGGCTGGGATGGCATGTTTGACATTTCTGATATACACTGGCCTATGCTATCATTTTTTGGCTAATAAAGGGGATTGGATAGTTACTCCAAAGTCTTCCTCCTGCCATTTTTTCATCTGAATGTGATTGTATCCTGTTTTTCTTGCAGGGGTTCCGGAATCTCTGGTACAACCTGCTGTCCCTTGTTCCTATTCTCCAGCCCTGGCATTATTCCCTCAAGCAGATCAGCGGTCGCTTTGGCTCTAGCATCCTCTCCTATTTCCTATTCCTCAAGACTTTGCTGTTCTTTAATCTCTTCATGTTCCTGATCCTGCTGGTCTTTGTAGTTGTTGTGCAGGCTGCTTACCCTTCTGCCATACCCAACAGTGTGGCCTTCACAGGGTATGATCTCTTGACTGGAGCGGTGAGTGTTCCTGAAATCAGGTAGCTTTCCTTTGCCATTAGAATAAATCAATAGAGTGTATTCTCCAGCACATGCAACTACTTATAATGATATATTTCCCTCCCTATATAGCTGCACAGCAGAATTGTTTGTTTAGCCCATGAAAAGATGGTTTAAAAATCGAGACCAAAGCCTGATTTCTGCACTATGAGATGGAATGAGAAAAACGTAGACTGTTGGTGTCCATCTATTTTGCCTTTCAGCTTCAGTCCATAATCCCCTACCAGAATCAAGAATCAAACTTTTGTTTGTCAGTCCAACAGATTAGCCCGTTGTCCTACTAAAGTACACACCTGTTGACTTTTAGTCCGTAGCAAAATGCTTGGACAGTTCATAGATGCCTATCCACTACCAGTGTCTCTACTTGTAGTCTATACACTAGAGATGTGAACTAGTTCTATAAAAAAAACCAGTTGTTTTTGGAATAGCCCAAGGGATATAGGTTACTTCTATTTGTGATGTTGACATCTGTGTAAGACCATTTCCATGAGTAATCAGTGGGTGTTACTTCAAAGAAGAGTAAAATATTTCAATGTTGTTACAACCAGGTCCATCTTTTTCAGCAAAGGATAACCCTCCAAAGGATTGGCATCAATTTCTTTCTTTTCTTCACAGGGCTACTTCAGTCACACACTGCTGTATTATGGCTACTACAGTAATTTCACACTGAATGCCCCTGATGCTTCTGCTGCTAACAACACCCATGACAGGCAACACATGCATGTCCAGTTGTCATATAATATGCCTCTGGCCTATCTATTTGTTACTGGAGGTTCCTTCTTTGGAACCTGCATTCTCTTGGTCTACAGGTGAGATGCTTGCTCTGTTCTCTTTGCATGGAATCAAATTGCTCCTTTCTTTTTTACCTGGGATAAGACCAGTCTTCTTTTTTTTCCTATTAGGCATCATCACATTTAATGTGTACTTGCATCCCTTCCAGATAGGATTTCAATAAAAATGATTTCTACCGTTAACCCAAATGGTTTCCTCCTGCCTATCAATATTTATTCTTCTTGGCTGTGATTCTCTGCATCAGGGAGAGAAAACCCTGTTGCTCACCCAGATTTTTGTATTTCAAGTGCCCTGGCCATCTGGCAAGGGATTGTGGGACCTGACTGATATATAGGATTGCAACTGAGAAAACAAAATAAATGATTACCCAGAAATGAGCCTCATTGAACTTAGGGGACCTTATTTCTGCAGCATAGTATTATGTTGCAAATCTTATATAATTTACACATGAATTATTTGAAGATAAATGTTGCAGATTATTTCAAAACAATTTTAGGCTTCCAACATGATAATGTAAAACAGGCTTAAATAATTAAATAGGTTGATAGCCATCATTTTCAAAATACCAGTATTTTAGAGAGTTTGATACCAAGTTCAAGCACTATACCTGTTTCCAGGAATATACATCTATTCTAGTCTTCCCAGTATGTCTTGATCTTAGTAACCTTGCCTCAGAGAATTTACTCAAATTTGTATATGTTAAGCTTGCCCACAGCTACAATCTTACATATGTGTACCTGCCTATTAAATACAGTGAAATTTGCCTATAGTCCTGCTAGACTTTTCAGCCAGACAGTTAATTCCATGCTTGCAGCTAACAGAGTGACCATGAAGGCTCTTCCTTGGAGAACAGTCTAAAACTGATGCATGTCTAACAAGCAGATATTGATGGCTTTTCTTCTCCCCACAGCGTGTCTCATTCCTTTGGGGAAAGCTACCGTGTAGGCAGTGTATCAAGTAACCTGGCAGTTAAAGTCTTCTGTGCCTGGGACTACAAAGTGATTCAGAAACGCTCTGTCCAACTCCAGAGCAATAACATTTGCACACATCTGAAGGTAAGTGCTGAATAGGGCTATGTAGTCTGTGAAAATGCAGGAACTAAATTAACTGGAAAGTAAAATCTTTGTCTTCTCCATCAGTGAAGCAGACAGTAGAAATGAGAAGTCACAAGGTACTTGAGAGTACATTTGAAACAAAATGGTGCAGCCCTTTAATCTTCATTTTCACCAATCTTTCTGCAAGTTGGCTGGCCAGTAGTCCCAGTCCCTTGCCTGCTGTTACGCCCTAGTGTGCAAAACAAGGAAGAAGGGGACTTGTTCCAACTTCCTATTATTTCCTTTGGCTGAATGCTTGCAGTGTTTCAAATTATGTTTCAACTGCACACTTGAGCCATTTTTTCTCTCTCTCCTATGACTGACTACCTCATACATGCTAGCAATAGTACGCACCCCATGTAGTGCCTGAAATGTCTCCTGCCCCTCATGATACAGGGCATTTGAGTGAACAAGAATCCAGCCTATTGCCCTGGGCCCTCTCTCAACCAGATCATACTGTAGTGAGGACAAAGGGATTTCTATCTGTGAGATAGCACTTTTTACACGGGAGGGAAGGAAAAACAAAAGCAGCAGTTTGTATGTAGCAGTGTGCCTCTTAAGTCTGAAGCTGTAGATTGAGTGAGCAGCTTGCAACGTTTGGTCTCTGCAAGCAGTCAGTTCAGTCCTCTAGCAAGGAGCAATCTGTCCCTTCCTTGGCAAGCGGAGAAGGGGAGAAGGGATGGTCCCATCACTGCTGTTGCTGGTGACATGTCACTGACAGCATGGACTAGATTATACCCCATGGGAATTTGGCCCTCATAACAACAACAAAAGTTGCCCATCCTATCTGGTTAGCAACAGGAGAGAGGACGAGGCCAGAGTAGGAAACCTGGCTCATTCATAATCAGCTCTCTGTGTGTGCGTCCCCTGTTTTTCTTATTATTCTTTCAGGAGTGTCTGGCTGAGCAGAGGTTGGAATCCTGCTCTTTAAGCTTTTCTAAGAAACTGCAGGGACTGGTGGTCTTGCTGGTGGCCTGGACTGTATCCTTGAGCACTGTTTCAGGCATTGCCATTGGTATACACTACTTTTCTGAATATATACACCAGGTACGTGAGCAGTAGGGTCCCTGTTCAGACACTTGCTCCTGCTTGCTGGGAGAGAATCAAGAGGATGAAATCATTTCCTGGGCTCATATAATAAATTAAGGCTCAGGACCAGGAGCACCTGTGGCGGGGGAGTCAAAACAGGCAAGAGGGCAGTTGCAGCGTGCATGTACAAAAGGGCAATACTTCAGCTGCACTGCTGCAACTGCCCTCTTGCCTGTTTCGACCCTTCCCTGCGGATGCCACTGCTCAGGACGTTTACACCAGTAGCAGTTAGTCTTGGATTCTTGCATTTATATACTCCCCATAGGCACCTATCAGGAAAGCCTATTCCCAGTATAATAAAGTACTAGATTTAACACTTTTAGTGTGTGATTATCTTTTTAATGTTTGTTTGTTAACAGAAAGCTCCTATTGTTGGACAGATTAAAAATATAATTTATACATCAATGAAGAGAATAAAGGGATGTAATAGAGCATAGGTCATAACTGTAATAGAGTGATCCTTCCCAACCTTGCACTCTTCAGGCATGGTGTACTATTGTTCCCATCATACTCAGCCAGCATTTCATGCTTGTTTGGGCTGATGGGAGTTGTAGCTTTACAGAGCAGACTGTGATTAACAGTGGTGTTATCTGGCTTCTAGAAAATGATCATTCATTTTTGTGAATAAAGTTAAACTCTTAGTTTCAGCAGAAAACATAATTGGGGCCAAGAACATTGAACTACTGTCAGCCATTTTAACAACAGTGAAAAAGGCTCTTTTTCCCAGATGGCTACTTCAAACAAATAGTAGTTCTTCAGTCACCACAGAATTATTGCATACGCTTTGCTACTAATTACAGTGGCCCAACCTGGTGGTTGGGATTTGAGTGACAGTTCAGTTCTGAGGGAGGCTGTCCATGTTCCGTACCTACAGTTCCATTTGCATTAAATATGGACATGCTGGTGTTCCTGGTGGTTTCATGCACCCTTTGGGCAAGTAATAAATTGAACAGCCAGGCAGCATGGTGCACTGATTAAGATGTTGGACTTGGACCACAGTGACCCCGTGTCAAGTCTCTACTTAACCATGGAGTTTACTGGGTGACATTGAGCCAATCACTTTCTCTCATCCCAGTTTACAGTGTTGTGGTGGGGATAACATTAGGGAAGACCCTTTCTATGCTGTCTCGAGCTCCCAGCAAAAAAGTGGGATATAAATGCAATCAGTGAATGATTCCCTCCTCAGGTTCTCCATGAGAAGCCCATGAGAAGCAGCCATGTTAGGACAGAGGTGTTGCTCCTGGCCCTGCCTCTGGTTGTGTCTCTCATTAACTTGCTCATGCCATACTTGTATAACCTTCTGGCTGCGTGGGAGAAACTGGAATCTCCAGTCCTGGAGGTGTACGTTGCCATTAGCAGGTAATACAAATCTGGCAGCTGAAACGGAGGGTGGGTTCGGCTCCAGCTGCATCCCGTTGTTGCGGCATTATTAGCCATTTATAAAAGGGTCTTAAAAGCCATTTCCACCAGCATTACTGCACAAGAAGAGCTCCGCCCTCAATGCTTTTCTTCTCTACTTTCCATTCCCTATAAACAATTTGTGCAGTCCAGCCAGAAGCATGTGGTAGGACAAGAGAGATGAACTGTGCTTGCAAAAGTGAGTTAAATTATGGGCTACACAATTTTCCAATTTTGTAATGCAAAGAGCCATTGTGTATCTTTAACAATTGTGTAGCTAGAAAAGAGGAGGCACCTGGGACTTAATCTGCTTCTCTCTTCTTGTTCTATCCACACTCTGCTTCCTTGCAAAAATGTGGGGCACAAGGGGTCTTACTTGCTTCAGCTGTCAACTGGAGGGAGGCAAGAGAAGCAGGATGAGAGGAGACCTGATGATGATTACTCTGATCTGAAAACAAACTTTTTCTTAGGCAATGCTTTTCTTACTTGTTCAGGAACTTAATTCTCAAGATGATCATCTTGGGCCTGCTGTCCTATCACTGGCTAAGTTGGAAAGTGACATCTTCAGAGATTCAGGTCAGTGCAGATGTGAAATAACAAAGGCTTTTCTTGGAACAGTTCAAAAATGGTTGGTGGTTTTGTCCCCGTAACATTAGGCCAAGCATGAATAAACAGTTTTAAGGGATGTAGAACAAAAGAGTTTTTCTCTGTCAATCCAGTGTGGGTTATTCCAGAATGACAACTCATGACTGCCAGTTATGAAAACAGAAAGAGCCTTTAAAATGTGAAATGATTCTGCAGTGAGTAGCTTTTCCCATTGATTAAGATAGACTGTCCAACTAAGTGTGGTTTTTCTCATGGAGTGAAGGTTGCAGTGAATGGATTGAGGATGTGAAATGGGCAGACGCACACCACGTACGTGGGCAGAAGCAAATGTTTCCTTTTTCTTTTGGGGGACTTCTTGTTACACTTGATAAAACCAATTTGGGGACTGATAGCCCAGTTTTTCTGGTTTTCCCTTGGTAAACATTTACCAGCTTTTGGTAATCATGCTGTCCAAATTTGCCATGCATCAAGAGGGAGCAACAAAGGGATTTGGAGATTGCCAAATGCCCACCTTTGATACAGCCAGTTCTGTAGCATTATTAAACTATGCTGCATTTTTATGGGGTGGGAAAAAAAGATGCCTGAGCTTTAGGCTACAACCCAGACTAGCTATCCTTCAGCTATCCCACAGCAAATGGAGCCCCTGCTCTTTCCAAGGCAATCTTCTCAGACATATAAAGTTCTTTCTGCACAGCAGGGAGGGACTCTGCCGTGATATGCTTAGTGCATGTTTCCCACAAGAGAGAAGCTGATGGCCAGAGAGCTCTGGAAAGAGAGACAGAGCTCTTTGTGCAAGAGCAGATTCAATATTACATTGGGTTCAAGTACATCTTACTAGGTTTGTGAGTGGCTGCATGCCAGAGAGAGGTATCTGAGCACCCCTTTAGTATTGCAGCTAAGAGGACCACTGAATTATAAGTACTGTAGCAATATCAACTGATACCCGGTGGTATGGTGTTGCCTGTGAGACTTCCCATATGGCTGCAGTGGATTCCAAGTTACCCTGCCCTGCTTTTCCACTTGTATTATAGGTTCCTCAGCCTCTTCTCTTTGAGTCAAAACACTGGCACAGGACTCTTGAACCCCCTTCTCCCTTATGATCTCAGCAGCTTGCTCTTAAATGCAAGCCATGACACAGGCAGAGTATAAGGGGAAAACTCTTCAGGATCTGTTGTGATTCACTCCCTTTGTGGGAATCAGGAGGCACCACTGTCCCTTCCAGCTTTGTTCTGCTCAAAAGATGGCCTCTGCTACAAAGAAGCTGTGAGGTGTATAGAATGATGGAACTTCAGCCTGAAGGACTAGAAGTTGAAAGAGCGGAGCACAGATCCTGCATTAAACATTGCTAGCTTCATACAGGAGCGACTGGGTTCCAAAGAGCTGAGCGCTACATTTTTGTGAGTTTGGTTTAGCCTGCTGCTCGGTGTTCATTTGACTGCTGCAGAGACTGTAGGGGAAGGCTGAATGAAGAGGAGCTCATCTGCCTGTTCTGATGCAAATGGTGTTGACCTTTCCATAGTGCTGGGAAACGTTTGTGGGGCAGGAGCTCTACCGTTTGATGGTGATGGATTTGATTTTCATCCTCCTGGACGTCATCTTTGGAGAGCTGATATGGAGGTAATAATCATAATAGAGATAATATGGAAGCAATCAATTGTTCTTCACCTCACTTCATCAGCTTCATCAACAAGTATGGAGCACATACTTGTTCTTACTTAATGTAGACAACATAAATCTTAATACACAGGTAATCAGAGAAATCTGCAGAACAAATTGCCACTCTCTTTATGCATGTTTATGAGTGAAATTAAGAATATAGACTATGTAGCTCTGAAAGAGCATAGGATGCTATCTTTGTGCATTAAAAATTAGCAAGAGATTTACCCTTTATTGCAATGGGAAGGAAAATTTGATCCATACATTACACAGGTAGTCCTTGTTTAGTGACCACAATTGGAACCCACAACTCAGTCATTAAGTGAAGTGGTTGCTAAGTGAAAAATCATGTGACCATGACTGAGCTTACAATTTTAGTTCGGCTTTCCTTTGCTTTATAGCATCAGAAGAATATGCCCCCAACAGACAGGTGAGCCCAAACGGTGGGGAAGGTTTCCAGCACTTGACTCACAAGGAAGCCAGGTAAAAGGGCAAATCTTATAGCCCTTTCCCACCCCCTGCCCTTTAGAATGCTCACCCCAGCACTGGGATAATTAGCAAGAAGAGAATTGATGTTTGTATTGACATTCATTGGAGAGGAAGGGATTACAAGAGAGTAAGCAGGCACACAGTGGGGAATACACAATGAAAGGAATGTGCTACAGGTAGTCCTCACTTAACGAACCTAATTGGGACTGGAATTTCCTTTGCCAAGCGATGTGGTCATTTGACTTGGGTAAGAAGTTGAAGCACACTGTGCAGTTGTAAATGTGAGCAGGCTGCCAAGTGCCTGAATTTTGATCATGTGATTGTGGAGGTGTTGCAACAACTGTAACTTCAAGGACCAGACGTAAGTACCATTCAGTGTTGTCGTAACCTCAAACAGTAGCTGAACGAATGGTCATTAAGGGAGGACTACCTGTAGTGCGAGCCACAAGTCCTTTAGGAGGCAGACAAAAGCCTTTAGGTAGTCCTTGACTTACAACCGTTCATTCAGCAACTCTTCAAAGTTACAACGGTGCTGAATGGACTTATGACCACAGCCTGAAGTTACAGCTGTTGCACCACCCCCATGGTCACATGATCAAATTTCAGTTGCTTGGCAGCCCGCCTACACTTATGACCAGGGGTGCTTCAACTCCCCCCCAACCTAGTTTCCTCCCATTTATGCCCTTTTGGCCCCCTGCACTCCATGGCCCCTGCCGCTCCAGCTGACCTTTGCCATTTCGCTCCCACTGCTGATGAGTGTGCCCGCCCTGGCCCTTTGTGAAGCAGCTGCTGGCCGCATAAGGCTTTCTTCCCATGGTTGCTTACAGTGGTTTCCTCGCAAGACCTGGGGAAAATGGCCTCACATGCCCAGCAGATGCCTTGCAAAGGACCAGGGCAGGCACGCCTCAACAGCAGGAGCGAGGAAACAGTGCAGGTCAGCTGGGGGGCAGAGTGCAGGGTGGCAGGGAGGGCAACTGTGGCTGGGGCAGCTGGGGCTTCCTGGGGCATGTTGGCTCTGGGGCTGCAAAAAGCCCCAGAACCACAGCATGCCAGGAAGCCCCTTTGCACCGTATGAAGCCCAGTTCCAGCCTAGTCCAGAGATGTGGCATGCCAAGAAGCCCCTGAGCTGCGTATTCTTTCCCCAGCCTTCCTGAGCCTATGATGCACTGCAGCACCCCCTTCCCCCAACTTGTGTGCAGTCTGCACTGGCCCTCTCAGGCCTCCCCCCCTGCAGCACCCCCATGCTCCTTACCCAGGATCCTGTCTCTTCCCACTTAACAACCCACGCGTCTTGGGATTTTGATGGCAACCGGGACCGCCTGGAGTGCTGCCGCTAAGCAGCGCGGCCACATGAGGTTGCACTACCGCTGGGGAAACTCTGGTCCCAGTTGTGGTCTTAAGTAAAGGGCTGCCTGTAATGTGAAACTGATTAGGTTCTTAGCAATTTCAGGCAGCAGCCCTGAGCTGGCTAATTAAGGAAGCTCAGGAAAAGATAGCTTGTTTAGGCAATCTCTCTGCTCTGTGAAGGGGTGGGAAGGAAACAAAGTGGGTCAGGACAATGGTACTGATTGTACTGGCGAACACCTGAGGGTGAGAGAGATGCAGCAAAGGTCGCAAAGGTCACAAAGTTACTTTTTCAGCAGCATTGCAATGGTTGTCCAAGGCAGTTGCTAACTGAGGACTAATCCTAAATATAACTCCAATTATCATCCATTGGACTTGTTTCAGAGTAAGCTTCATTAGGATT